TGTCTGAAAAAAACCCCTCAGATATCCCTACAGGACACCAAAATGATACCATTTGTGCCTTCTGTTTCTTAGCCCCTGCAATCTCAGCCTGTTAGCAGCCTAAGCTCTTACTCTCCCCTAGCTTTTCCCCACTGGAATAATTATCCCTCTGAATGGCCTTTCAGCACTGATGGTTCTCACTCAGATAACAGGTTTAGGGAGGTAATGTAAGTGGCTTACATTTATTTTCTGCATCCTGGTTAAAAATAGAATATATTTCAGATGGCTGATTATTTTGTCATTGGCTTGTTTTATCTCAGGAGAATGACAGTATTGCTCTTCAGAATACAGAATGCAGTTGCACATATACTTAGTGGTGAATCTTAGCATATGTACTCCATAAACTACACTGGATTCCTTCCAATTCATTTCAGGGTACAATTCAAGCTGATGATCTAAATCTGTAATAGCCTGTATATCACAAATCTTGACTAAGATACCACATCTCTCAGGTCTTGTCAACACAACAGGTTGTTAGAAACCAATTTACAGTAAAGACAGACAGATAGATAGATAGATAGATAGATAGATAGATACACAAAATGAAGTTGTATTGATTTAATATTAACAGATTTACTAGTAGAGGTAATGATGTTAATCATCATATTTATTTATTTGTATGGTGGCTAAGCACACCAATCCTTGTGATTCTGTATAAACATGGAACAAAAGACAGTTCTACCACAAGGCGTTAATAATTCAAGGAAAGAGTGTCTGAAAGGAAAGAAGCAGATACCACAAAAAGGCATGTTGAACACAAGTCAGCACGAAAAGCAGTAGTCACATCACAACAGCTACCTAACCATTTTCAAAAGATTTTTATACACTTCATACAGTGTTGCCAACTCTTACCATTTTTTCACATGCCTTGTGACTTTCTGAAAGTCCTAGCTCCTGGACATGATTTATTACACAAAAATGCCCAACATTTAATTTTTAAGTAAGCTTCTAACTAAAACAGCAGCAAAGGCCTACAGTCCAGCAGCAGGAGGCAAATCAAAAGAACCTCAAATGCATTACTTTTTAAAATTTCATGGATGTTTTAAACTAACTTAATGATTTTTAGAATACTCAGTTACAACTTTTGAATGCTTGGAGCTGACTAACAGTTGGAGCAGAGGAGAATTTTAAAAAGAGACTTTCAGGAGGACAGTGAAATACCTATGCAGACATTTAGTTTGAAAGTATCTTCCTGGATAAGAGATTACTTAAATCAGCTGTTTAATTTGTGATTTAAAAAATATAATGGGAACTACTGATTGAAAGCTAAAGCTAGACAAGTTCAAACCAGAAATATGGCAGAACTTTTAACATTAGGGGGAGCTAACTTTTGGAGCAATTTATCTAGGGATGCAGTGAATCCTCTATCTCTTGAAGCCTTTAAAACAAGATTTGCTGTTGATACCAGTTGTATCTAGATTTCTAAGTGCAATCCTGTTCCACCAAGCTCAAGTCCCTGAAAAATTGCTAATGTGAAAGTGGATTAGTTGTCTCCTTTTCTTTATTTTTGTGACATAATCTCAAGGCCAGATCATTAGCAGTTGATGAGCATAAAAAAATAATCACTTTTTACTCACAAAAGAGATGTGGTCTCTAAACAGTCCGTTACATTACTTGACTATACAGTACATTTAATGATCAGTTTCCTGTATATTTCTCCGAACCACTGCATGATTAAACAGCGGCAAGCAAAGGATTTTGAAAAAGTGGATGTGTTGTTTCTTTTTACCTCCTTATCATCTATAAAGACCTGGCAGATTTTATTTATGGGTTACAAGAGAGACTTTTTCCTAGCTCTTTTTTTTTTCAGTTTAGAGCTAAGTCTGGTCCTCTTTTCTGTGTTGGAGGCACTTGGAAAAGTAAAAAGATAGGATCAATATAGGATCTTAACATATTAAAGGCTTACTATTAAAGTGTATGTCCTTCGACACAAACTTCATTCAAAGAAAGTTTATTTGTCATTGAAGTTAAAAAGGTGTGAACAAAAGCAAACAAAATATACAGCCTTCAAACTTGGACTGAAAATAAGTTTTAATGCATTTAATGCATAATATTGTCCTTCCCCAAATACACACATGAAAGTATTGTCAACACCTGTTTGTAGCAACACATGGCTTAATGTTATGTTGCTCCTAAGAGTAGTTGCTGTTATGGGGGATATCATCTGAATACATTCCCTGGGAAATGTTACCAGTAATAATGTTTTGCTTTGTTGTTGCTGCAAACAAGTGTCTACAGTAACTTTAATGCCTTTGCTTTGTATGTTGGTCTTCTGTCGGTCAGTCTAAACACACTATATCTGAATGCACTTTTGATTAAACAAAAACAAGGTGGGAATGCCTGCACAGTTGCTCAACTACTTAAGTGAATGACTAAGTCATCCTCTGAATGTTTAAGCATAGGAATAATGACAATAATGCATACTTTTTTGCCTAGTATGCAGTGGTACAGCGAATTGGACCATGCTAGGCTTCATCTGCTACCTAATGCAATGTAACATAGCAGATAAAATAAATCAAATGTGTGACACACTATTAGGCTTGAAAGATGATAGGTCTTCTAAAGCAATTGCTATGAGAATATTTCAGTGCTGTAGGCTTTAGGTGGTTATTGAAGTCTAAAATCTTTGAAACCCAAGCAACACATATTTTAAGGGCTAAGAAACAAGTGAGCAGAACTATAGCAGATGCTTATTACTAGTGAAGCAATTTCCTGAAACAGAATTTATCTAGATTCTGTTTTTCTTATAGCATTTGATATATTTTTCATTTTTTCTGAGTGCTTTCTGCATACATAGTCACGGACTTGATACCTCTGTGGTTATCACAGCATTGGAATTCACACTGGTTCAGTGGTAAAACTTCAATGGTACTTGACACAATTTTGTTTCATAAGTAGTTGTTTAATTTCATACACTGACCAAATGATAAATGAGAAGTTACTAAAGTTGAATTTTCTCATTTATTATAATAAATTCCAAGAAGGGTTTTATCCTATTTCCACATGTTTATTTGTCCTAACTGACTGTTCACTAATCTTGAACATTTAAAATGTATGGTTCATAAAGTAGGCCTTAAATATGTAATTCTACTAACTGTCTTTCTGCAATGAGCAATGGTTTTCTAATAAATTGTATTCTATTTAAAATTCTGCAGAAGAATTTCTATTCTTCTTATTTTGTGCTAACTTATTGTTGATAAGTTTGTTTCTGTTTGGTAAATGTCTGTGACAGTATAATGAAATAATCATTAATAAAAAGGAAACAACAGTCCAGTGATCTGTAGTGCAGGCTTACGTGAGTTCTGCAGTTAAAAACAATCTCTTACAAACAAGAAGATACTTTATATTTTCCCCAAAAATGAATGTAAAAGTCATGAAAACATGAATATGGACTATATTGTATGAAAATACCATAGAATGGTTTGGGTTTTTTTGCAAATTTACAATTAAATTACATTTAAATTCCCTAAAAAATGAAGGCTTTAAGAAATTTGGAATGAAATTTCAATTCTATTTTTTGCATGTAATTTCAGTAACAACATAATAAATTGCAATGGAGAAACTTTCAGTTTTAAAGAGGTGCTGTTGTTTGTCCAGGAAAAAATTATTGAAAAAAATAGTGTAATCTGTACAGAAGACAGCTGTGAACTTAAGCTATCTGGGAACTGTTAAGGTAGATTTAAGGTTACTTGATATTACAGATGTAAATTTCTATACCATAACATGTTTGGATTTCTGAATTAAACTTGAACTTTGAGTTTCCCAAGTTTAAAATTCTTGGCTTTTAATTAATTACAATAGCTCTGCATATAAAATGACATACTTTAAACTACCAATGTGTGTTCACAACCTTGTCTTCACTTTAATTTGTGTATGGGAATAAAAATAGTTTCAAAAGGCATTAATATATGTGGTTGATATTTGAGGTGCTTCATGACAAAAATAATAGTAAAAATGGAATAAAAACACACTTTTTTTTCTCTTTCTTAGCCCACTGTGTGTGAACGGGAACTCTGTGTATTTGCTTTTCAAACTCTAGGAGTGATGAATGAAGCTGCAGATGAAATTGCAACTGGGGCTCAGGTACAACTATTTAATGTTAAAACTGCCTCTCATTATATACAGTGTTCAGTCACTCTTGTTAATTCACTTTTTGTAACTTTCCACTGATCTCTGTTCTTTAATGTTTAAGCATTGTGTGCAGTGAGTCATAGAGATGCACATACTTTATAGATGGTACTTCAAAAGGTATTGAGTGGTCTCCTTATTCTGCTTCTATTATAGGAAATGAAGCAGTACTAGGCCAATGCTAGATATTTTTAACCTCTGCCAAAGCAGTTAGGCTGAACTCCTGATAAGTACAATTTGGATACCTGGATTGCTGAAATGAATCAGACAGTCTCTTCCATTTATCTTTTTGGAGACAATTTTTAGATGATAGTGTTCATTTTATAAATGTTACTTATTTCTTTTATCTAATAACTATTAAATATAAAATGCATAAACAGACCTGGGCACTGGGATCAAAACCTAGGTATTCCCCTCCCAGATGAGCACTCTCATTATAAGCTTACAGTCATTATCTTTTTGTGTGGACTTGCTCTCTCTCACCTATTGAAATATGCATTTCTTTCTATACAGTAGCATAGCTTCAACAGGAAGATCTATTTGGGGTAATACCTCCCCAAACCAGCTTTGCCTCTAGCTTGGGGGGAGACAGTTAGAGTAATCCCCACCCATTCAGGTTGAGGAAACTAAATACTGTCAATCTCCAAAATTATTTGGTGATTGGCTGTAACCTGTATGCTATTATCTAAGAATTTGCATGGCCACCATCTCCTCTTCCAGCCATGGTTTTTAATGTTGGTGTAATTCGTGAAGAGCAACACCATTTGTGTTAGGTGCTCTTCCTGTCAAAACAGGCCCCCTCACACCCACACCTATAGCAGAATGCTGAAGTTTTTGTGCACCTAACTGGCAGTTTTCTGGCCATGTAAGTGGTGGTCTTGGCACTGTGGACATGTACGCATGAGTACATAGATGAGCATGTTTAGTAGGCTACTCACTGGGTGGGCAGAAACATAGCTACATATTCACGACCATGCTGAAAGAAAAAGTGAATGTGCATTTTGCAAATGACTCAGTGAAAATGAAAATGACTCACAGTCAGACTTCTTTTCTGTTTTAACTTCATTAGCTGTATAATTGGGGTACGTACTGAGGAAACAAAAGACTCAGCTTCTAAGCTTCCTTTGCTGAAATGGGTTTTGAACCTGTATCTCTTTGACTTCCTAGTATAGTTCTCTCTAGCACTCTTTTCAAGGTGATACTCTGGGCACCGAATAGGGAGATATGTAGGTACAGGAGGAAAAGAACAAGCAAGAGGATGTGTGGCCCAGAGGCTTTGGGGTTTGTGGATCTCACTCTTGGAGTCAGGGTCGTAAATTTCTTTTAAGGCTCACTTCAGCCAGCCAACTCCCTTTGTAGATCTGGACCGAGGTATCTCAAATTTAGATGTCCCCATAAAAAGGGGCCTGCAGATGGTGTGGCACATCACCATATGTAACACAACTCGTATTTCCCTCCAGTTAAAGTAAACTAGAAACTTTGTCTATACGCTAGGGGGATAGCACTATATTATTCAGTTTAAAATCACAGAAAAAACAAGTACAACAATTGGAATATGCACTAATGTACTAGCATGTATATGTGTGTGCGTAGCTAAAACTTTTATATAGCTGCAATACCAACCATGAGTCACTGATGAATGGAGGCCATGATGATATAAAGTTTTTTTTAAAAAAAAACAATGAACTAGGCAAAAATAGTCAATTATGCCATTAGTCTTGTAATCATTATAGTTCAATGTACATCTCTTATTCAGATTCAGAAATCAAAATCTAGCCTTCTTGAACATCTTGACAGTGCCCCCAATACTTCACTGTCAGTCATTTCTGCACCTGAGTTAATATCACCACCTGTGAGTTTCAGGACTGTGTAACCAAAGAGAGACTTTACCAGGAATGGCTAACAGACAGCAAGATTGTAGAAGAAAGTATAGTTTGAATAGTAGAATATCAAGACCTATATTAAAAAGGAAAGAGAGTTGTTAATGTCTTTGGAGTGCAGAGAGATTAGCAGGAATCTCAGCAGTACCTAAATAGTGATGCCACTGCCCCTGCCACTGAGGCAGTTGGTTTTAATGCTTAGGTGGTCCAAGAATCAAAGGTGAATGTAGCTGCACCACTGCACCCCCTGAAAGGGTGCAGAGAGAAGCGACAATTTTTGCCCAATCTGGCCATAGAAAGTGGTCTATATAGCCATGACCAAACACAAGTGCATGGTTGCAGACTGCTTCAAAAATGTCTGGTTGGGCAAAAATCTAAACCCTCTTTGCGTGAGGGGCTAGATGAAGAAGATTCAAAACAGAGCATCATCGGTATCTTCTGTTGGCACTGCTTTCCAGCCTGTCACTGTTTTCAGAATGAGAGTGGGGAAAGGGAGTGAAAGGAGTTTGGTCTGGGGGGGCTTCAGCCCCTGCTGGAGGGTGGGGCAGGTGTATTTGAGGCCCCCGCCACCCTCCAAAGCTGCCTGGGGAACCCCTAGAATGAGCTCCCTCTGCTCCCATTCTGAAATAGAGACAGACTGGGAGAGGAGGGGCCAGCTCAGCTGAATTTAGAGTAGACTTCAAGGTTCAGTAAGTTACATCAGTCCCACAGGGTATTAATGGAGTATATGTAAGATCAATCTATGCCCTTCTCTCCATGTGATGCCAATAGACCAGCAATAGTGTGAAGAGAAGAAGAACTAAATTCCCTCACAAGTATTGTGAATTAAAACAGTACAACACAGACGAATTTAAGCTACTGTATTTCACAGTTTAGATTTTCCAAATATCCCCTTTTTTAAATATTATGTTGAATAATCTCTACTTTCTTCATTAAGCTGAAGTTCATAAGAGAGAATCAGGGCTTCCAAGTACTAGGACAGTAGCCCAAGTACTTCAAGTACTCATCCTTTTCCTTGGCACTCAGGTGGAGAAGTGGGCATGATGTGGGGGGAATGGGGAGTTAAACACATTATTCTCCTGGGCTTCTTCGCATATCCCATCCCAGGTGCTTAATTTTGAAACATTCTTTTTGTCTGTAAGAGTTGTACACTAAAAAAAAAATAGAATATCCTGAAATTTAATGTGATTTTCAACTTTCCATTAAGATACTTAAGGGAGGGAATTACTTAAGCAATTTTATTGTTCAATATGTATGAGATATCTAGTAATTTCAAGTACCAGAATATTTTTACTTTTAATCAGAAAAAAAGAGCTCCATTCATGCTAAGGGAGCACAGGAGGAGAATGTAAAACAGTATGACTCACTGCAGAATAATTCCCTCTCCCTTTCCTTATGATTCTCATTTTCGTGCTGATTCCCTAAAGGACCCTCATTTTTATTTCCTTCAAGTGATCAAATCTGGTAACTTTTAGAACAGTTTGCACTATGAATCAGAATCTAGTTTATCTGGACTAGTGAGAGGAATCAGAGATACCTATTAAACAAAACTTACCTTAGCCCTTGAAATCTTGCACTGAATAGACCATTTTTATAGAAGAAACAGTGTCAGGAAGGTCAGAAGAGCCCCAATCAAAAGCATTAACCTTTATGCACATGTTGTTAAATATATATGGTTTCACAGTTTTGGATTACTCTACTAGTAATAGCAATTCCTACCTGCTAACAAATTGTTGTCTTCCTATTTGGTGATAATTCCTTTTTTTCCCAAGCTCATTTTTACTTATGCATGTGCTGATTTAACTTTAAGCTTTATTTAAACCCTCCCCCAAACACATACAATATCATCACACAGTACAGACATTCCAGGCTATGCTAATTCTCTGCAAGAACAAGGAAGACCTCCTCAGTCTGGGCTTGAAGTGGCTGTTAAATCCACTATTGCAGCTCTAGAGGATTCAGTATTTACCAGGATATCTGCAACTCCATTCTTCAGGACAACGGGCAGTTCTGTTCTTCATATGAACTAATCCCAGTCTTACTCTACTCCCATTATTTATTAGAATCTCCAACACAGGCCAGAGATTTCATACCTGCTCCCAATTCTGTTATGCCCAGAGACCACCTCACATGTCCAAGACAAAGCCAGATTTGCCTTATATTATAAATTAATATACTCTGCCTTGCAATAAATTTGGGGGCAAATCTTGGTCCCACTTTATTCATTGGAAGTTTTTTACAGGAGTTTTCTGTTGTGGCCTGAGACAGAACCTGTTAAAGCTGATGGATAGACTTCAGTTGGATATGAACCAGGCTGTTACAGTTTTACTTATGGCTGTGTTCTCTACTTCAGTAACATGATATTTTTTAAATAAAACACTTGTTTCCTGCTTGTGTATGATATAAGTCCATGGTATACAGCAGATGGGTTTCTGTGAACAGATAAAGTGGTTGGTCAATATTCTTGACAAACCACTTATTCCTTCATAACGTTGCATCATTTATCAAGTAAACCCAGGTATCATCTCAGGCAAAAGTGCTGCAACGTACAGTGCTTGCTTGATCTTTCAATTCTACTTCCTCAGAAACAGTGTAGGCTAAATTTTGCTCTTTAGACGATCCTCATACACTTAGTAAAATGTGTATTTTTTTCTTAATAAATTAAGTCTTAAGAGATGTGGACAGGAAGATCCACACAGTTTATCTAGCATGGCTAAAAACATTTTACTTCTGAAGAAAATAAAGCTTATTATTTGATATTGAAATCCTTTCCTTAGTTTGCAGTTGTAACTACTACATGCCTTATAAAAATGAGATGTTATTGTATATGCCCAGTCACAATGAATAGGTTTACAAATCAGTTAGTAAATAACACCAGTAAATCTGAGGCACACTGCTATGCAAAGATTATCAAAACTGGGTTATGTGGAATTTCAAAAGATGCCATCAGAAAAGAGGAATATCAGCTCACTCACAGGGCACAGTTATCACAACATTCAGGTTTACAACTGGGGCAATTTACAATTATTAACAGAATATACAACTGACAGGTTAGAATTCAGTTCTCATATGTACATTGTAGACAAAGCAATTGTTGGTGTAATAATAAAAGGCTTAATGCTCCTAAAGAAACAAATTCTATAATACAAGATGAAAGAAGATAATTCTGGATAGAAGAATAGATTATTGAAAACTCAAAAGAAATAGTTTACTGAGTAAGAGCCATTCTTTATCTTGGTTTTTCTTTATTTCTAGGTGGTAGATTTATTAGTATCCATGTGTCGATCTGCATTAGAATCGCCTAGGAAAGTTGTCATTTTTGAGCCATATCCTTCTGTAGTTGATCCTAATGATCCTCAGATGCTGGCCTTTAATCCAAGGGTAAGTTGTTATCTCTTCAGAATATAATAGGATGGTTTTTTGGTCATATTTTAGATGCGAAACTCAGATCTTGCTTCACAGGCCATCTGCCTTTACTATCACAAATGTCTATTTAATATATGGTATATGCTCAAAAATAGTGCCACTGAACCTTATGGCTAGGGACAGAAATTATACATAAACTGCTATAAATGACTGGAAACCGGTTCACATCTGTAACACAACAGAAGTTCAGTGCACATAAACCATTTTCAAAATGGCCAGAACTGGTAAGATAAACCTGGATGGATGCAGTATCAGACTTAACTGATTTAGGTTATATAGGTTTTATTGAACTTCTGTCCCAGATCCCCTCTATATTCAAGTTAACTCACAGTCCCCCCAGCATCCCAGGATGCTTTGCACCTCCCCAAGTCCAACAATCACAGGTGGGCTGGCTAGCCTTGGCCTAAGCTGTCTGTTTCAGTTTAGCAGGGAGGCGTGCTCTAGTGCCCCTGGTGCTCCCCTGCACCACTTCAGGCATGTGGCTTGTCTAACCTGCCCTTGAAAATGTTCAAGGATAGAGATTTTGCAACTTCTCTGGGTAGCCTGTTTCATTGCTTAATCACCCTCAGACTGAGAAAGTTCTTTGTAATCTTCATCCTAAATTTCCATTGCACTGATTTGACCATTGCTCCTAGTGCTGTCACCTATTGCCACAGAAGAGTTTACCTCCATCCTCTTTATAATTAGTTTTGAATAAAACTAATATAATCAGTAAACTGTTTGAATCCCATGTTAGCCCTGTGTTAAAGGACCACATGAGCTTTTTTGACTCTCTGCATCGAGATGAATTTCACCTTTTTTCTGAGCAAAGGCCAGATAATGGAACACTAGAATGTTCTAGAATTTCACTGATAGCCCTTTAGTCTGCTGAATGGGTACCCATGTTCTGTTGAATAATGAGATATACTGCTGGGCCTAGCATAGCTAGTAGTATGTTGAATGTTTAAAAGAAATTTTGAGACTAAATGTTTGCGAGTTAGTTAAATAGTTGCCAGATCCATATATGGTTATAACTGTTTTTAAAAAAAGAGAGAGAGAGAGAGAGAGATCTAATATACTAATTGCTTGTGGTGAATTCTAATGAAACTAAAAGAAACGCCACAAACCTAATTTTAGTCCTAGACTTTTCCTGGGCTATGGATGGGTGAGATGGAAGGATATAATTGCATATAGAGATTTGAGAGAGTTTGAGTTGTTGTGCTGTGGCTTAGTTGCTGTTTTATGCAGAATGTACAGGAGCTCAGAACCAGTGTTTTTTACACAGAAAAAAGAGGTCAAATATTTTAAATATGTTTGTTTACTTTATCTTGCATCAGAAGAAGAATTATGACCGAGTCATGAAAGCACTGGATAGTATTACTTCTATTAGAGAAATGACGCAGGTAAATACAAGTCTTTCAATATCTTGATTATAATTTATAGCAGAGCGTAGATATTTTATTAGTTGGTATTTGGGGG